ATGTAAGCACATACATAAATCAGGTGATTTCAGGAACTGAGACGCGCTGTGAAGAAAATAAAATAGGATGGTGGGACAGAGTGGGCCCAGAGGGACTGCTGAGTGCAGGGTGGCTGGGGAGGGCTTCCTTGGGGAGGTGACAGCTGAGCTGGATCCTGAATGGTGAAAAGGGGATAGCATGTGAAGACCTTGTAGGGGGCCAATTCCAAGCAGAAAAGCCACCAGAGGCTCTGACCCAGCTCGGATGTGGGCTAGTCAAGGCACAGAGAGAAGGCAACTGTGGCTGGGATGCAGTGAGGAGGGAGGAAGAAGCGGTAGCTGCTGCTGGAGGGGAAGGGAGGTGCTGCACCTCCTAAGTCCCCCGCTGCCCTCAGGGGTTTGAAGTTTATTCCAAGTGCAAAGGCAAGCCTGGGAGGATTTTAAGCAAGGGAGTGACGCGTCTTATTTATGCTTGGCAAGATGTCCCTAAGTGCAATGTGACAAGATAAACTGCAGGGGCATATGGAGATGATCGTGGTGGTGGTGGTGAACTAGTTAGGATAGTCTGGGCTCCAGATGACAGTGGCTCAGTCAAGGACTGTGATGGTGAAATGGTCAAAATGGAGATGTGGGTTTACTTTGGAGGTAGCCCTGGCAGGATGTCGGGTATGAGAAAGAGACAGACGATTCAGTCTGGACAGTTGGGTGGCTGGGTGCCATCTATGTATGCTGGGACACCTTGGGAAAGACATTTCAGTGAGATTAGAGCCCAGATTACCTGTGAGATGCTCATTAGGCATCCAGGTGGAAATACTAGGTAGGTAAATACATGAGTCTGGATTTCCAAGGAGAGGTCTTGCCTGGAATTGAGCTGAGATTCATCAAACAATAGAGGGTGTGTGTACCCGTGGAACTGTGTAAAAGCCATTTGGGGAGTGCAAAAAGATTATGACCAGAGAGCCAAAGACAGACCTCTGAGTCAACTGTCCTTTGGAGGAGGAGTGGCCAGGGAGCAGCAGGAAAACCCAGGGAAGGTGGAGTCAGAGAAGTCTGGCAAAGTTTTTAAAGGAGGAGGCAGTGTGACAAAAGCCACTGAGAAAAGAGGTCAGAGAGTGGACCTTGGCTTTGGCAAGATGCAAGTCACTGATGATCTGGATGAGAGTAATTCCAGGTCATCATGGGGACAAAGGGCTGACGAGAGCAGCACAGAGTGCAATGGGGAGGGAGGAAGTGGGACAGTGGATGGCAAGGGACTGAGGGCAGCGGGTGGGGGTGGGATGGGGTTTCTAGAAGATGGGCGAGGCAGAGGCAGCGGCACATTATAAACAAGTGACTTATCCTATCCTCTGGGAAGGAGGAAGCAACAGTGCTGGACTGCAGGAGTGAAGCCCTGGGTGGGGTGGGACATGTGGAGACTGGGTTGGCAGGATAGGGGGCAGGGGTGGAACCTGGCGGCTTCTGGGGTGATTGCATCCCTTCTCCCCCCACCGCCCCGAAGCACCTGGTGGCATCACCAGCTGAAATAGAAGTTGAGGAGTAGGGGATTTGAGGAGAGTTGGAGGTGTGAATTAGTCGTCTCAAGAGTGAGGACAGGGGGTGGTTTTGGTGTGTCAGAGGAGCTGGGGGCCCGCATGAGATTTGCAGTTTTCATTTGGAAGCAAGTTCAATGGCACAGGTGTGCTGGGCCTTGAGGAACAATTGGATCCAAGTGGGGTTTGGACTTTCGCCAGGTGTGTACACTGAATGGAGAAAAGGTGGGAAGGAGTTCGATGCAGGGAGAGTTAAAGACAGATAAAGGACATGGCAGTATCACTGCAAGGGGGCAAAGGGCAATGGCTCGACGGGGTCAGTGGCACAGAGGACTGCCAGCATCATGCTAATACAGCATCTGAGAGGAGTATGTGTTGAGGGGTGGGGGAAGGCTGTTGGCATTAAGGAAGTTCTCTGAATTCTGTCACCTGGGCCTTCCCAGAGCTGGAAGGAGCTGACCTATGCATTGTCCAGAAGGGGACTAGATGCATGGAGATGTTAGCTGCAGAAAGTAAAATGTCAGAAGCCAGCAGCACCCTGAATCTCAGCTGGCGGGTGTGGAACGGTGCATACTGGAATTGTCTTTTCCCCACTTTCCACAGCAGCAGCCCCTTTCCTCCCCTTCCCTCTGTCCCTGGGGCAAGGGCCCTAATGTCCTCCCCATCACATCCCTCCCACCCTACATTTTTTCCCTCAAATTGAAGCTCAAGTGCACAGCCTTGAGGGACACCTCCTTGATGCTAACCAGGCCAGGCTGTATGTTTCTTTACAAGTATCTAGAATGTGGCAGAACTCCACATTCCTTCATTCATATACTCATTTAATCACTCATTCATTCAGTGATTCCATCTTTCATTATTCATTCATTGGGTTGAGTTGCTAAACCAGCCCCTAGGGATGAGTTCTTAGTCATTGTGAACTCTCAGTTACTGTGAAATTGCTCCGCCTGCCATCAGCGCACTGTCTCTCCATCGATCTACACCCGGTGCTTGTCACAAGGCCTACATAGGTTTGACATGTGGGCTTCACATGTTCCTCACGGGTCTGGCAGGTGTCCAGGCTTTCCGTGTTCATCATGTGTCTATTCAAGAGGTCACATACATATCACATGCGTGCCACATCTAAAGTCCTCCCAGCCTCTTCTTCACAGCACAGCTATGTGCAAGGCCATTGACCAAAGTTCACAAGTTAAATCTTCACAAACCTCTAACATGGCCTATATGTTCCAGAAAACAAATCTTTTAAATTTACAAAACCAAGACTTGCTCCTTGTAACACACACACACAAAGCCAAAGCCTAAGAAGTAAGAAGTCTGCTATTCACTTGGCTTCCTGCATCCCCGGTGCCAACAACTGTTAAAAGTGTGGTGAGTGTGGTTTAGTTCGTATGCTTCTAGATCTTATCTCTATATGTGCATTTGCAAAGAAAAAAACACACATATAAAGTATGGAGAATATACAGACACCGAGATCAGAGGCCTTGCTCTGCACCTTGCCTTTCTTCTTGAACAATAAATGATGGGCACCGGCAGGGTGGGTGCTGCAAATCCACTTTATTCTTTTACAAGGTTGCATATTGGTTTATCTAGGAGGCGCCTGTCAACGGGCATTTAAGATGTTTTCATTTACTTCTTTGCCCCAGCTACAATGTTGCGATGGACATCTGGATCAGCTCTTTGGTATAAGCATCTCTGAAGGCTCATTTCTACAATTGAAATTACTAGGTCCTGTGCATCTTACATTTTATCTTATTTTGTGAATTTGTTTTTCGAGACAGAGTTTCAAGTTTTCACCCTGGGTAGAGTGCCATGGCGTCATAGCTCACAGCAACCTCCAACTCTTGGGCTCAAACGATCCTCTTGCCTCAGTTTCTCTATTTCTAGTAGAGATGGGGTCTTGCTTTTGCTCAGGCTGGTCTTGAACTGGTGACCTCAAGCAATCCACCCTCCTTGGCCTCCCAGAGTGCTAGGATCCTGAACCACTGCACCTGGCTGTGCATCTTTTATTTTAACATGGATACCTAGTGCTAGGCATCGTAGGCATAGCAGGAGCGTTGTAAATATCTGTGGCATGAATGGACGGTGCCAGATTGCCTTCTAAGAAGGTCACATTTCCATCCCACCAACAATGACCAGGGGAGCCACAGAAGTGGCCATTTCTGCCACCAGGTTGCAGCAACATTGGGTCTCAGGACAGCCACTTTTCTTTAGTCACTCACTGCTGCAAGCAGGAGCATTAATGGCTGTGTTGTTGTCTTTGATAAACGGAATGTAGCATCCAGGCTGAGGGTGATCTTCTCCCAGGCCCTTTGCTCATTGTCCTCCCAGTGGGGCAGGCTTTCGCCACAGTGAGGGCGACATACGCTCTGGGATTTCTCTCACTTGAACTGGCCACATCGACACAAAGCACCCACATATTTTCCCTCCATTACCCATGACCAATCCCTGAAACTGAAGGGAAACTCACACTTACGGTTGGCCTTATTCTCCTAATGCTAACTCTGATACCATCTTGTCACTGTTCTGTCCGGGGCCCTGTCTCTACCAGGAACCCCCATCTGGACAGCCCTATTCCTGGTATCTTTGAGGCTACCTGCGCCATGTCCCCACCCCTGGCTCTGCCACCTGCCTGAGTCCTGATGCTCCAAGGATAAGTATTTTGGGGAGAGTCCTGTAAGAAGCGCCCAGCCAGCACTCCAGGGCCAGTTCTACTGCCAGTCCTCCCAGGAGCTCTGGCCAGTGTCCATGCTGTGCCCTGTGCCTGGGGAGGAAACCGGCATGAGTGCAAAGGCAAGGCTCAGGATGCAAGTGCTCAGCCCTGTCTGAGCACCAGGAAACTGGCATCAGGGTCCCCCTCACTTTGCGTGGCCAGGCCTGGGCCCCAGTTCCAGGCTTTGCTGCAGGCCCATCTGTGTACTTCACACTGACATGGTGAACGAATCTTTCCTCTTCGGGGTTAAATCCTGCAGGTGGGGCTGAGTGGCAGCGCCCTTAACCTCAGGGCTGGAAAAGAAGGGTGAAACTTGCACCTCCTCCCCTCCCACCAAGAGATTCCAGGGTGTGGCAGGTCACAGTCTCCTGGGCACCATTCCACAGAAAGGCCCCCCACCCCCATGGCCTCCTCCCAACCCCACTTTCTCCCAGCAGGTTGTTTTCAGGCTGCCCAGGGAGCTTCCTGGATGCAACCCCTCCCAGCCAACTTCTCCCCAACTCATGGTAAGACTGCTCCACATCCCCCAGGGGAAGCAGCAGAAGGATGGCTTGGAGGCCCACATAGTGGTCACCCCTACCCTGTTTCCAGGCTAACACCCAGAGACTCAAGCATCACAAAGAGCCTTTCCCCAAGGGCAGCTCATGGATGGACTATCCCCCCGTCCTCCTGAAGGTCTCATCAGTGATGTGATTTCAGCTCAGGGACTCCCCACCCCCACAGCAGTGCCTGGGCTCACCACCCCACCCACTGCCCCACACAGCCAGAGACAGACTCTCAGCCACAATTAGCTAACATTTAGTGAGTACAAGTATTTTGTCCATGTGTTGGAAGGTACATTGGGGTCTTCTCTGTTCAGGTAGAGTTGGACTGTGGCTCAGAGTTCATCTAGTCCAATCTCCCATGGGCACTGAGGTGCCCTCCAAATATCTCAGAGCTGGCTATCTATTGGACATTTGCATACCTCCAGAAATGGGGTTCTTACTACCCCACAGAGTAGCCCATTCCACTGCTGGGCACCTCTGGTGGCTAGCATTTTCCTCCTGACAGGCTCTAACATGGGTTGGCTGGGGGCAGATATAGTCACACCAGCCCAGCCCTCAGGATAAGAGAGACAGCTAGGTGGAACAAGGGCAAGAAAAGTAATAAGTTAAATTCAAGTATGGCCAGAGCCATGGCAGGGTGCGCAAGGCATTCCAGGGGTCCCAGAAGTCTCTGGCTTGCTCCAGCACGTGCTGCAGAGGCTGCTGAAGGCAAGGTTCCAGGCAGGAGGAGGCTCAGAAGGCTGGGTTGTCAATGCCCCTCTGAACCCCACCATCTTCTTCAGGCCTGAAGCTGTAGGGAGGGGGGGGCTCTGTGGGCATTAGGCCCAGGGTGGGCTTCATAATGACCTGAAGGGAAAAGAAGGGACTTTTCAGAGTCTGGCACTGGCCACCACTGAGATAGAGTCCCACATGCCAGCTGAGGCATGCTTACAGCGAGAGGGTTAACAGGGTACAAAGCCCTCCCCAGGGGCCAGGGGCCTGGCATGAGTGAGGCCCTCCACTATCCCCACTGCTCTAACAGTCTGGACACTAGGGAGGGACAGCTAGCTGAGAAGCAGGACAGGGACCAAAAAAACCCACCTCACTGTAGGGGGGTGGTGGGTCAGCAGGGGACGCCCTGACCCTCTCTGGAGGGGGCAAAGAGGGCAGCTCTGAGGACTCCTGAAGATTCCGCTGCTCTGGCTGTATGCAGCTGCGACAGAAATGCTTAGCCAGGCCACAGATGCACAAGAGGGGTAGGATGACCAGCAAGATGATGATGAAGATCCTGGTGGGGACCACCAATATCACCCTGGGCCCGGCTGCCCAGCCACACTCCCCCCTCACCCCCAGCCTACAGCCACCCCTCAGCAGCACATCCAGCCCTATCCTATGTGGTCCAGGCCCCACCAAGGACTGTGCCAAGAGGAGTGAGCCCTCGACTCACCTCAAGGGGCCTGAGAAAAACTCGTTCTCCTGGCAGCAGCTATTACCACAGCATTTGAATCCATTAGGGCAGATGCTGCTTGGGGGAGGAGGGGACAGAGAAAGGTTGTTGGCAGGAAGGGGGAGAGGCAGAAGGATCCCAGACCACTCAGAGCACCAGGTATAGGCCCCTCTGAGCCCAGCAGGAGGAACCTGGGACTGGAACTCTGGCCTTGCACACTTGTGCCCAGTTACTGCTCCATACTGGTCTTCCTTGCTTGTCTGTGACACAGGTGAAATTAATTTATCAACCTCATGGGGCAGGGGTGGGGACTGAGTATTGCAGTGGCTATGATGTCACTCATTTTACCCTAAGGAGATGAAGAGGAAGAAGCAATGTGATGTCTAGGAGCCACTCGGCAGAGGAGTGCGCCCTCGCTAGCACCCAGGCTCATAAGGAGAGCAGGAAAAGGGTGTTTCCAGAACACCCAGTGCTCTGTCTGTCTAGAGACCCCCACCTAGCCCCTCCTCACTGCACTGAGGCTTCATGGATTTTATATATTAGGGTGAGTACAGACTATCTGCCTGCCCTCCCTCCAGGGACCCTCAAAGGGGAGATGACCTGATACTACAGGGGGAAGGATCAGGTTTGGGATACAGACCTGCCCCAGTGGTTGGCTGGCAGAGGGAGGGAGGGGGCAGAGGCTCTCTCTGGGTGGCAGAGTTGGGGGATGGTCTGTGGCTGGATTGGGAGAGGGTGAGGATGAGGTGCCCCCCCACCCACCCAAGGCAGGCAGGGCAGGATTTAGGTTGTTTCTTCCACACTCCACCCCAGATTGGAAATTACAACCAAAGTCCTAGACTTACAAGAAGAGGCCACATCTGGCTGTACCCTGTGGAAGAAAAGAGGCAGAGGTCAGGGGTCATAATCTGGAGGGTGGGGTTTCCACTCAGATATTGCCCAGTGGGTCTCCAATGAACTCAGCCTCTCCCCCAAGCCTCTCTCCACCTGACTCCTCCATGTCCCCCAAGTCAATCGTTGTAGCCCACATGACTCCCTCCTGTCTGCCCCTCGCCTCCACTCCTCTCAGCCCCATACCCCCCACACTATATTCCCTCATCCCCAAGTCGGCAAGCTACTTCCTTCTGGCCACCCTTCCAGTCTAGCTGCTCCTACAACACCTATGGTCCAGGCACCAGCAATTTTCCTCATCCGCACCCAAGCCACTCCAGACACTGCAGGCAGGACTCTTCCCAGAATGCAAATCAGATCAGATCACCTAACAGCCTCATTAGAAGCTCCTTCAGCGGCTCACTGGGGTCCAGACCCCCAACCAGCAGCCTTACCCCACTTCTTCATCCCCTCTCCTCCTCTTTTTTTTCTTTTTGCCTATTAATAGTAATTTTATTTGTTTTGCTTGTCAAAATGTTTATTTGTTTATTATTGTCACAGCTCACAGCAACCTCCAGCTCTTGGGCTTAGGTGATTCTCTTGCCTCAGCCTCCCGAGTAGCTGGGACTACAGGCGCCCACCAGAACACCTGACTATTTTTTTGTTGCAGTTTGGCTGGGGCTGGGTTTGAACCCGCCAACCTCAGTATATGGGGCCAAAGCCCTACCCACTGAGCCACAGGCGCTACCCCAATGCTTGGATTTGTTAGGTAAAGTCCCTCTTATAATTGTGTCCCATCCCCAAGAGGTGTGTCACACACTGTGACGCCCCCTTTCCCTCTCGCCACTCCCCCATTTCCTCACTCCCTGCCATGCATGAGCATCAATTGTCCTCCTATCAGAATTGAGTACATTGGATTCTTGCTTTTCCATTCTTGTGATGCTTTACTAAGAAGAATGTGTCTCAACTCCATCCAGGTTAATACAAAAGATGTAAAGTCACCATCTATTTTGTGACTAAATAGTATTCCATAGTATACATATACCACAGCTTGTTAATCCATTCCTGGGTTGGTGGGCATTTATTTATTTAGATTGTTTCCACAATTTGCCCTCTCCTCCTTTTAGTTTCAGTTTTTTTAGACAGTGTCTCAAGCTGTCGTGCTAGGTAGAGTGTCGAGACGTCACAGCTCACAGCAACCTTAAACTCTTGGGCTCAAGCCATTCTCCGGCTTCAGCCTCCCAAGTAGCTGGGACTACAGGCGCCTGCCACAACACCTGGCTCTTTTTAGTGATGAGGTCTTGCTCTGGCTCAGGCTGGTATTGAACCTGTGAGCTCAGGCAATCCACCCGCCTTGGCCTCCCAAGGGCTGGGATTACAGACAAAAGCCACCGCACCTGGCCCCCCTTCTCCTCCTCTTGCACAGACTATCCTCTTGCCCATACCTGCTGGGAGTTCCCTGAACACAGCTGGCTGTTTTATAAGGCTGGGGGCCCCCATTCATCCCTCATCTCCCTGCCTAGGACATTCCTTGCTCTGCAAATTTGTGAGGATCCCCTTCCCAAACCAGCTCCTCCCTCTTCTGTATTAGTTCTTCAGGACATCCAGGTCATCTTACAGAATTTCACCCCATTAATAGCAATTAGGTGTCAAACATGGAACATGTTTCTCCCAGGTATCTGCAAGCCCTTCCTCTCTGACCACATTATTTAAAAACGACAAACACGCTTCCAAGGCACTCCCTTCCCTTTAGTGTGCTTAATTTTTCTCCATAGCACTTACCAACATCTGACATATTATGTATTTTACTTTGTCTGCCCAGTAGAGTGCAAGCTCCACAAGGACAAGACTTTTGTTTGTTCATCGCTGTTGAAAACTCAACAGTCAAAATATTTGCAGAATGAATGAGCATTCATTCATTACCTGGTTCCCCTCTACCCTGGCTGCTCCCAGACTTTGGGGGAGGGATTTAAATAGGGAATGCACAAAACTGGGGGCAGTTACCTGTCATCCTATGCTAGCCTCCTGGGACAAACAACCAGGGCTCAAAAGAAGCCAGCTTTGGCAAAAACACGCTTGTCTTTATACCTTTGCTTAAAATAATTAACATTTCAATTGCTAATACAAGAGTAAAGAAAAGAATACCAATGAGAAAAAAAGAAAAGAAAATGACCAACAATAGCCAGTCATAATTAGGGTAATTCCAGACAGCTGAGTAAGGTCTTCTCACAAGCTCTGTCCCCTTGCAGGGACAGGAAAAAGGAAGGAACCCTTTCCCATTATCCCAGAGTAAGTGAGTCTGAATCCAGATCACATAGCACATAGGGGCAACTACAGAGTTGGAGACACACAGAGGGATTCAGGCACTTAGCAGCACCCTTTCACCCTTCAGTTTCCAGACTGTCCTCCTCTCTCCTGGACCCCAACTAAGTGATGAGTAACTAACAGATTTAATAAATTAGTCCAGGGTTCCTTTTTGGGAGGGAGAGGAGCTCTTCTCCCAGATTTTCTGCCCCCCATTTTAACCAGTGGTCTTGTCTAGGGTGGTTTAGAGCCTGAGTTTGATCAAAAAACAGCAGGATCTTAAGCAATCTCAAGTTATCAACCTAACAGCCTAGCCCCTGGGGCTGGGGGAAGGAGTCAACCAGAGGATGCTCCAGCAGTGTTGACACAAACTGATCACCCAGAAATTTAGAAGGAATACTCTGCTCAATAACTCTTGTCCATGAATGGGCTTTGGTAGAGCCACTCTGAAAGCTCAGCTCAGTTGTGTGAAGGTTTCCTGTGCTGGAGAGCAGATTCTGGGCTTCCCTCTTCTTAAATGGAAATAAGTTTAACGTGTGTATTCTAGACATATCTCAGTTCTCAAAATAGTCTCACATCCCATAACTGAGCAACCTTCCCCTATGACCTGTAGAGTTTATGGGAAAGGAATGGGAGAGTCAAACCCTGCCTCACTCTCAATCACAGATTTCAGAGGTCACTCCAGCCTTGAGTCAGGCAGCTAAGTCAAATCCTACCACCAGCTGGAATTCTACTTTGACTCCCAGAAGTGCAGGAGGTGCCTCCAGGAGGAGTCCAGGGCACAAGCAGAGAAATACAGTCCCACCGAAGGAGAGGAGCTGGGGAGACATGCTGGCCCAGGCACCCCGACTTCAAGCCCCACTTTCGAGGACGCAGATGGTAAGGAGCTAGAGGGTCAGGCCAAGGCTAACAAGGAGGTCAAGTCCCCATTCACAGAGCGGCACTAGATGTCAGATGGGTGGTGAAATTCCCTCAAGGGTGAAAGAACTCAGGCTCTCCAGGGCCTGCCTCTACGGCCCCTACCTCCACCTCCGCAGCAAAAGGAGAAAGGAAATTGCTAATTGCTTGTGGTCACCAGGAAATCCTGACAATGGAGCTGGTAAACAGGCTCCAGAAACAGGCCCCTGACCCCCCGAGTTAGGGCCCGAGAAGTCTTACCTCCCGAGCTCTCGCCTGTTGCAGGCCGGCCAGCAGGCTGAGCAGTAAGGTGGGTGCGAGGCCGGAGACCCAAGCGTGGGACATCCTGGCATCGGGGCCACTGAGCTTCCGTGTCTAGGGTAGGAGGGGAGAGGCGGGGCCGCGACCTCTCCCACTTCTCTCCACCTATGGAGCCCCGCCTCGGGGTGGGGGCGGAGCTGATGCTCGCGGGAGGGGAGGCAAGGAGAGGAAAGGGAGGGGAAGAGGTCTGGGTAGGGTTTTGGGAAATGGGAGGTAGGTGAGATTAACTGATAAAAAATCCCAAAGGGCGGGGTCATCTCCAGAGCCCTGAATTAGGCCTTCTTAATTCCCAGCTTCTCAACTCCGAAGTGTCTCCGACTTTAGCCGGGAAGGGGACGCTCTGCGCCTGGCGGGAAAGAGAGGGAAAGCGGGCGGAGGCAACTGAACCGCTGAAGGTCCTTCTCTCCTGGGAGAGGGCAGTGGGGACAGGTTGAGGGAGGAGGGAGGTGAAGGCCCTGGGGTGGATTGCCAGGGGATTGTATAGGAGGAACTGTCACCCCATGGTGTTTTTGGCCAAGAAGGAGGGAGGAGGAGGCCTGGCTGATTTCAAAGTTACCAGAGATTTTCTGGTAGAGGGACACAGCTGAGGAGCACAGCATTGGCACATTCGTGTCACCCCTATCACCACCACTACGAAATCCTGAGGGGAGGTGTTGGTGCATTTCCTCCTTTTGACAAAGGGGAAATTAAGGGCCCAGCGTTCAGAGAGACTCCCCCAGCCCCCAGGTCCTCTGCTGGGGCGATGTGGCAGCCGGGCTGGCTGGGGCTCCGGCGAAGCAGACCCATCCAGATCCCTGGAAAGACCCTGCGGAGACCGGCCCGCGTGGGAGGGGCCAGATTCCGATCCTGGGCGGCCTCGGCGTCTGGGCCCTGGAGGCCCGCGATGCGGACGGGTCCAGCCGGCAGGTGGCGGCATTGGCCAGCGCAGGTCCCCGGGAGCCAGGAGGGGACCTGCGCGGGCCAATGCCGAGACCCTCCGCCCAGCGCCCGCTGCTGGGCTGGCGGGGTGTGGGTGTGGTCGCAGAGGGGGCAGGGGGCGGGACAGGAGGAGCCGGGGAGGGGATTCAGACCCCCGGAGGGGCGTGACGGAGATTGTGGGTGGGCGCTGCTCCCGCCCCGCGGACGGGTGGACAGGCGACTCCTGCCCAGTGTCTACTCTGACTTGGGCTCTGAAAACTTTCACGACTTCGCATGACAGCAAGTCCTCTGGCTGCTTTGCCCTTTTTCTGTCTCTCACCGCTTTTTTTTTCTCCCTGTGTCATCTCTCCTAGTCCTGTGGTCTGCCTTAGACGAACCTCTTGCGTCTCTCCCGGTTTCTCCCAACCTCGGTTTTTCTGTTTCAGTGTCTCCTGTCTGCATCCAGTTGCTCTCGGTTTCTGAGTGTTTCCCCGTCGTTAACCTCCATTCATTTCAGTGGAAAGGTCTGTTTTTCTCCGTCTCTGTTTCCATTTCCCTTGCAGGGGTTGAGTCTGGCATCCCAGTCTCTGCGTCTGTTTCCCGTGGTCTCTTCTGGCCCCTCTCTTTTCCTGTCTCTATCTCCCATGATCTCTTGGCCCTTTTCTGCCCGTAAGGAGAATTTTCCAGTCTCCTGATCCAAGTGGCATTGGGATGTGGCCCCAGAGAATCCTCTCTCTATTTGAAGTTCCTGGTGACTGTGAGCTTGGAGAAGGGAACTGGGCAGGGAGGCGGGGGAGGGGGGGCACTCTTCCCTCCTCTTGTGCAGATGGCAGTTGACACAGACTACCCCTTGCTTAGGGGGATCTAGTCCGGAGGCCTTCTCCCAACAGCACCCATGCCTCTGCTCTTCAGTGGAGTTGCTGCTGATCTGGGCTTCTGGGGGCCTTCTGCTCCATCAGAGCCCCGCTGAACCAGCACCCCAGGTCTGGGGTATCTCTCCACTGTCTCTGCTACCCTACCCAGGCCTGGGCCCTTATGTAAGAGGAAAATAGCTGAGCTTAGGGGAGGAAGGTGTCCTGGGGAGTGAAATGAGGATGCTGAGAAGAGTGCAGGGTGCTTCAAGGGACAGATGTGGGGAGCCAGAAGGACTGAAGAAGCCAAGGGACAAGGCAGGCACCCCGGCAGCAGGGAGAGGGTGGTGTGGCCTCTCGCTTGGGTCTCTGGCCTCCACCTGATCCAGATCTAGGGTTGCTAGGCAAAAGACAGTGTCCCTAATTAAATCTGAGTTTCAGAGAAACAATGAATAATTTTTTTAGTATAAGTATGTGTCATGCAATATTTCAGACATACTTACAACTAAAATTTATTTGTTGTTCATCTGAAATTCAAATTTAACTGGACGTCTTCTATTTTTCTTTGTTAAATCTGACAGCCCTATCCACATCCCTAAAGCGTCATAGGACTAAACTCTACCCTCTACCCCAAATCTTTCCTGTGGAGAAAGTGAGGTTTCTAGCATGTGACTCACCAGGCAGAGTCCAAAGAGTTCCTGAAACCTGCCTCTGGGCCCTCTATTTTTTCCAGACACCAAAATGCCCTTCTATGTACCTTTCTACAGATGGGAAAGGAGGAAGAACCTGATGGTGGGTGGTCCCAGCCCTAGCCAGGAGTACCAGGTCCTGTTATCAGCATCCATTATGGCTCTGGGGGCACCAGCATTCTTGTTGGGTGAGGTTGGATGGGGGTGGGGCACTGTGGGGCCCCTATAGAAGTGGAAAGGGGCTGTTCTTGTCCAGAGGAAGAAGGGTTCTGGACATGGTCAAACCCTGTTTGACACTTAATCTGGTAGCAGAAGAGAAGCACAGACATGTGCACACATGTATGCTCCAACATACAGGGTCAAGGGGGCAGGGAGACCCAGAGATCTCATGCAGTCAGCGGGTTCCCTAGATTCCAGGACAAATTCCATCTGGGATTTCCCAAGAGCAGCAACTTTGAAATGTCTTCCTATGTACTCACTGTGTCCCCCAGCCTGGCCACTAAAGAATGAGCTGATTGTCTTTGCATCCTACAAGGGCCGGCTGAAAAGGCCTCCAAGGTTAGCCAGCCCACCCGCTCTCTTCTCAGAGAAGCCAGTGGAACCCACAGGGTGAGAAGGCCAGGTCACATGGAGCATTAGGGGATGAGTCAGGCCCCAAATCATGCAGTTCTTGAGACGTCGTGTCCAGCACAGGTGTCACACAACTCAGGCCTGGGGAGACGCTGTGCTGCTACAGATGGAGAAACACCTCACTAGGGCTTGGGTGGAAGGATTTGCCCAGCCTGTCTCAGCCAAGACCAGGGGGCCAGACCTTAGGTGAGGGGGAAGAGCCAGGCTTAGTTCTGTTCCACTTAGCATGGCCCTCTTCTCACCTCTGGGTACATTGATAACCGCTAATGAGCTCGCTGGGCTGGAAAATTTTTTCAAAGCTGCAGCATACTCTGCTCTAGCCGGCTCTGCCTGTAGGGGCAGTATTGCGTCATGTTAGTAAGAGTGCCATTTCACTATGGTATGGCTGTGTGACCTCAGACAAGAAACAGAACTTGTCTGTGCATCTTTCAACTCATCTGTGTAAAGGGGGGGGGGGTTGCATAACAGTACCTCCCTCATCACACTGGCTATTATGAGGATGAAACAAACTGCTTAGCGTTTGGCATAGAGTAATGGCAAATAAATGTTAACTGTTTTCATTCCAGGTAGAGGAAAAGGGCCCACAATTCCTTTTCTCTATTTCACTTAGAGGCAGAGAGGGGGGCCAAGGAGTTAGGGTCTTGTTTCTCTCTGAACAACGCTGGCGCCCCTCTGGAGGCTGCAGGAGCCCAACCTGTTCTCCCAGCCTGCTCACTAGCCCCCTCTGTTGTCCATTAAGGCTCTAGGCCCCACCTAAGGGCTAAGTCAGAGAGGGCAGGGCTAGTACCTGGTACTGACCACTCCTGGATGTGGTGCTGGGCCTGGAGATTTGAGTAATTCCCTCTGTTCCTGGTTCCCCCCCCCTTCTACTTCCTCACTGCCTATTGAGTGCTGCCTAGGTTGACATAGTCAGGAATGCCTGCCTCTCCATACAGGCTGAGAGCTCACAGGAACTGGAAACTGGACAGGAGCTGTCCCCTCTCCTTCATCACCACTGTCACCATCCTCTGTGCAGCCTGGATCACCTGAGCCATCACAACCATCTTCACCAAGTCCTTTCGCTTGGTCTCTCCATTGCCCTCGTTGAAGTATGTCACTATCTTGCTCCCTAACCTTCAGAGGCTCCCAACTGCCACCTGAATAAAATTCCAACTCAGGGAGACCTTCAGGGTCTCCATAAGAGGCCCCCACCTGCCTGTCCAGTGTGCTCTCCCTGTGCCCCCCATGTTCTCCAGCCCTTCCCTCTACCCTTTCTGCTTCCTTTCTTGCCTCTGCCTGGGTGGTTTTCTCTACTAGAACACTTTTCTCTATATCCCTCCCTGAAACCTAACAAATTCTTACCCATCCTTCAAGGCTCAGCCCAAATTACCACCTCCTCCAAAACGCCTTCCTAGATGTGGGTCATCCTGAAGTGAATGCCCCCTCCCTGCTTGCCTCTACCTCAAGCTTCTTCCCCAGTCATCTCTGACAGCCCTTGGCCATTCTCCCTTGAAGATGTGTGGACATGTTCTAATGTTCCCACCAGGCCGCAGGGGCTGGCCAGCTCTGATTCAGCTTTCATTTCCCCACGGTGCTCTGTTCCAAGTAAACACTGGCTCTGTTGTCACTGAATCGAAGCTGGTTAGGGGCCTTCCCAGGTCAGGGGCCAGATGTCTCCAAGGGGATAAGGAATTAATTTCCAAAGTCCTTGGTGAAGGACTAATGATTGGGGGGGTCCAGACTGGGCTCCCGCTCACCACTGGCTGCGTGGTTTGGGGAATCCACCTCTACTGCTTCCTACCCCTGCAAGGTTGTGCTTGAATTTGTGCACACCCCCCACCTGCCAAGTCAGTAAGATGGTTCCCTAGGGATGGAGCGTCTCCACGGGGGGTACCGCAAGGAATTTTTGGCTTAACATCCGCCTTCCAAGAGGAGGCAGAGTGCCTGTTAGATTGCCAGTAGGACTGTGTAGCCATGGGACCAGTGTGTGAGTCTCCTTCTCAGTACTTTTTTGGAAATTAAAGCTCACCAGCCCTTTACTCATTCTCAGGAGGATG